AATGATTAACCTGGATCTGAACAGTTTGGAGCACAATATAAGAGGACCCAAATATGAAAAATGTGCCATAGTTTGCACCTTTTTGAAGGCTACTACTAGGCATCTCTAATTACAAATTTACATGCGTTATGTTTTTGTTCATTGTCACTTCCAATGTTATTCCATCAAAAACAATAGAATAGAGGCACGGATTTCCTCTAGTACTCTGTTGTACTGAATTTTTTGTTTATGCTGCATAGTATGCAAAAAGTTAAAGTTATAAGAACAAAAGAATATCAATTAGGAAAGATCCCATACAAAAATACTTTATATAAAGTATTATTTTCAAATCAATTTTAATGCCAAATAAGTGATTACTTTTCAACCCTTTGAATTAAATTTGCTCAAAGTATTCATGAAGTTTGAAAAGAGACAGACATATGGAAGAGTCTCCTACTGGGACATGTACAGTGTGTTGTCCCTCAGTCACAATCCATCCTTCAATAAGCTGTGAAAATGGGTTGTGTGCACTAATGCACCATCACCATGTTATTGCAGACATCTGCCACACGCTGCCTCTAGACTGTGTTCATCAAGTTTGCGTGTCATAAACTTGTGTCTTTACTCCTTAAAGAAATACCAAGGGAGGGCTGGGGATATAGCTCAGTGGCACATTCACCTGCCTAGCAAGCACAAGGACCTGAGTTTGATTCCCAGTACCAAAAAAAAAAAAAAAAAAAAAGAAATACCAAGGGAGTTCAATCTATTGCAAAGATTTCATCAGTGTTTTAGAAACCATAGCCACCTTTACTTTAGTAAGATATACCTGTTGTGAACTTGTAAACATTTGGGATTTTATACACATCAAGAAATGCACATTAAAAAATGATAAGAATGGCCTGCACTCAGAAACCTCAGGCAAGAGGACCAAAAGTTCAAGACCAGCATAGGTAACATAGCAAGACCAGGTCTCAAAAAGTAAAAAGGTGCTGAAGTGGTTCCTCAGATTTAGAGTGTCGGCCTAGAATACATGAGATCCAGGGTTCAATCAGTGAGACTGAAAAATAAAAACAAAACAAAATAGAGCCTGGGCTGAACAGTGGACATTTTCGGGAAGCCTGGTGAGTCTGGGCTCTGCCTCCCTGACCAGCGTGCAAGGCAGGTGAAACCTCGGGCACCCTCTGGGGCCTTGGTTTCTACCCACCACACCCATAGTGTGTCTGCCTGGGCTGGGCTGAGCTCCGGACATCTTCAGGAAGCCCAGTGAGGCTGGGCTCTGCCTCCCCGACCAGTGTGCAAGGCAGATGAAGCCTCAGGCACCCTCTGGGGCCTCGGTGGCTACCTGCCACACACATAGTGTGTCAACCCAGGCTTAGCTGCCACCACTCACCAGTACAGGAGCTACGTTGAACACTGGGCATCTTCAGGCTCTCGCCCTACCACTCATAAGCAATCAGCACAGTGAGACTGCACTACAGGGAGTCTCTGGCTCTTCAAAAATGACAAAACGAAGAAGCAAAATGCAATCTCAGACCTCCACACCATCTTAGTCAACAAAATATAGAATAGCTAAGCTAAAGAAAGAGGGAAAAATACTAAAGGTAAGAGCAGAAAACAATGAAATAGAAAATAAACAGTAAAATCTGGTTTTAAGCAGGTTAACATGGCAGAGGAGCAGCACAGAGGAGGAACAGTTTACTGTTAGGTCAGGTAGAACTTACACTCCTAATCATAGTGTCATTAATCCTAGCACCGTACCATGAATCAACCCTAGTGTCACACACACCAGATCCTGCTACCTGTGGAAAATTGCACCTATGATCATGTGAGTCTTTGTGGAGGCATCTAGACACAAACCATAACACAACATCCCTGATTCCTAAAGCCTCATGCAATCTCTTTATGCAAAAAGCATCTAATAGATCTCCGAGTCACTGAAGTCTTAGCAGTTTCAGCACTGTTGAAAACTCCAAGTCCAAAGTCTCTTCTCAGATTTAAGGCAAACTGTTCAATTTGTCCCTGTACAAATTGAAACAAAGTTAAACACTTCCAATGTAAAATGGCACAAGATAGACACTTCCATTCCAAAAGTTTCAAAGAGAGGGATACAAAGGCATGGGATCCAAGCAAGTCCAAAATCTAGCAGGGCAAACATTAAGTCCTGTAGTTCCATGTCCAGTATCTGAGGCAATCTATGGCAAGATGTGAACTCCAAAGGCCTTGGGAGGCTCCACCCCTAGGCCTCTGCCAGTGGTTGTGGCTTCTGGATCTCCTATCTTGGGCTGGCTCTGCTCCCTCCTTGCAGTTTTCCTCAGAGGATCCATGTTCCTGGCTTTTCCAAACTTCTGGGGTTTCCACCACAAATTTAACTTAATGTTCACAGCTTCACACACTGCCCTCTCATTGGCACACTGCCTGGCCTCCCAGGCCTTCTGAAATCTGGGTGGAAGCCTTCCAGATCCTATAACTCTCACATTCTGCATGCATCTAAAACCAGCACTATAATTTCCTAATTATTAATATTGGGGCTGGTCTCTGATGACCTGCACCACACAATGAAAGAAGACTCGTGACATGAGGAGAGGGCTGATGACCACTCTGTTTATTAAAGGATTACTGTATCTTAAACACATAAAGGGAACAAAGGCATTTTTAGAAAAGCCCGAAAGATAGTTTGAGAAAAGTGCATCTTTTTTTTTTTTTTTTTTTGGTTTTTCTCCGGTACCGGGAACCGAACTCACGACCTTGCGCTTGCCAGGCAGGCGCTTTTGCTGCTGAGCTAAATCCCCAGCCCCGAGAAAAGTGCATCTTATACTTGAGCTGATAGCATTGGGAACAGGGATGATAGGCTAGAGTAGATAATCTTGGGAATGCTTGGAAACAGCACAGAAAATGTGCCTACATCCTGCAGCTTCAAGGCTATGGCCTCCCTCTAAGTCACACCATACTGTTTGCAGGGTCCTTAACTGACCTGTAAGGATGGTCATACCTACAACCTAGATGCAAAGCACTTCATATGTACATTTTCAGTGTTGACCCCCACAAGCACCACATGGATAATGCCAAGGCCTGCTGCCAGCTGAAGCAGTAGCCAGACTTCCTTTTCTCTTAGACTGCAGGCATCAAGTTCCTACAAATCAAATCCCAAGGAAAAACTTCCCTAGGCCACTGCCATTCTGGAACATGGTGCTCTGGGGCTTTTTTCTCAAAGCAAAGCCCTTCACTTTTGCAATTTTGAGGCTTCAAAGGCTGGAGTCCTAGTGTTTCTGGTGATGTCCTCAGGCCATCTTATCTGTTCTCTTGTTCCTTCTCAATAATCAATTATCGCCTCTGCTCTGTTTTTGCAGGCCATACCTTTACTGGAGCTTCTTTTATGGCCAGCATAAAAACATTTTAAATCATTCTGCTTGGCTTTTTGCTCTTGATCCTCAACATAGATCTGGCTAAAAGCCCCCAACAGTAGCCATGTCACTGCCTCAACATTAGAGTATCTTGAAACTTCTTCTGTAAGATCAATTAGTCTGCCACCCTTAATATTAGTCTCTGTCAAAGTACATGAGAGTCTCTGTACTCTGTACATGAGCACATGAGAGTCTCTGTACTCTGTACATGAGCACAACACAGACAAACTTTCTGCCAAGTCATAACATACATGTTCTGGCATCCAACAACCAATGCAGTCCTTCTTCTCAGCAGAAACCTCCTGAGCTTGGTCTTTCCTGCCAGCATTTCTATCAGCATTCTCTTCTTCCTAATTCTGACCAGAATCTCCTATCAAGTACAGCCTAAGACTTTCCAGGGCTGTATTTGATGGGACCAGGCATCACTGACCCTTTCCTAACTCTTCCCCTTTCCACAAGCCAGCTTCAAAGGCTCTTAAATCACATGGTCAAGTACAGTCACAGCAAAGATCCCACTTCTCTGGTACCAAATTATGTGTTAGCTACTTTTCTTGTTGAGACAAAATACTTGGCACTCAGTGTTAAAGGGAGAAAGGTTTATTTGGCTTGCAGTTTGTAGAGATTTCAGCCCATAGTTGATGGGGTCCAAGGCAGTGTGGCATGACACAGGAGCATTGCAGAGGAGGAGCAGTTCATGGCAGGCAGAAGGCAGCAAAATCAAGCAAGTGACCAGCAGCAACTATCAACAAACCTCTCCTGTTCCTTCTACCTTATCCAGGCTGCCCTCCCTTAGGGTGGGTAGCACTCACACCCTTAATCCTAGTGACCTTTATCCTAACATTGCATCATTATTCAATCTCAGTGCCACACACACTAGATCAAGCCACCTCTGAAAACCTCCACCTATGAATGTATGAGGTTTTTGGGGGACAACTAGACAAAAGCTATACTACAACCTTTTCCAAATAAACTGTCTACCTTCATTTTAAACTCCATCTCTTTAATTCCTTACTGGTGCTGAGAGTTTACAATCCCAGTACCTTCATGTTTCAGGATTGCAGTAGTGCATACACCCCTTCCATACACACACCAATTCTGTTCACACTAATGGGAAAATATCACCAGACTAAAGACATTTTTTTACGTCATAACCTATGCCCAGAATAATTTTTCTTAATTCTGGTTTTGGCCGCTATGGACTAAAAATTCTTAATCATCTCCAGTACTGGATAGTTTAACATCATGACCCCCAACAACAACAATATGTAACAAGGATGCATGGCATATATCCAGGCAGGAAAAAGAAAAAGAACTGGCAGAAAAAGCTGTTTTTGAGAAGAGCTAATGTTGGAACACAGAAAGACTTCAAAGTAGCCATTATAAATATGCTTAAAGAGCTGCGAGAATCTAGGTGTGGTGGGGAATGCCTGTAATCTCAAGCACTCAGGAGGCTGAGACAGGAGGGAATTCACCATGAATTTAAAACCAGCATGGGCTACTGTCTTAGTTACTTTTCTCTTGTTGCTGAGACAAAATACCTGACACCCAAAGTTGGAGAGGGAAGGTTACTGACAATTTGTAGAGGTTTCAGTGCATAATCAGCTGGGTCCAAGGCAGAGTGGCTTGACAGCGGGGCACTGCAGAGGAGAACCACTTCATGGCAAGCAGAAAACAGCAAAAGCATACAAAGGGGAGAAGCCAGGAGTCTTTCTGTGTCTTATGCAGAATACCATCCCTAAGGCAGGTATAGCACTCACACCCTTAATCTTAGCCAGAACTATGTCAAATTAGTCAGTGGAGTGATTTACTAACCACACACATTTAATCCCAGCATCACACACTCTAGATTCAGCCACCATTGAAAAAGTCCCATGACCACAGGAGGCTTTGAGGGGATATCCAGATGCAAACCATAACAGCTACAAAGCAAGACTCTGTCTCAAAAAACAAAAACAAAAAAGTAACCTATGCTTAAAGAATTAAAAGATGGTATGAAAACATCTCATCAAATACACAGTATCCATGAACAAGAAGAAATTATAAAAACAAATTAAAGGGAAATTCTATGGTTGAAAAATATAAAAGCTGAAGTTAGAATTTACTGGAGGAGCTCAATACATTTGGACAAGAAGAAATAATCATCAATCTAGTAGAGTGATAGAGATTATACAATATGAAAGACAGACAAAAAGTAGATGAGAAAAACTGAGCAGAGCCTCAGAGAAACACAGGACCCCATTAAATAGCTCAACGTTGTGTTAGTCAGGTGTCCCTGTCACAAAATACCTGAGAATAACAACTTACAGGTGGAGAAGTTGATTTTGGTTGGTCATATGAGAGGTTCCCATCCAGGGCTCCTTGGCTGCATTGCTTCTGGGTTTGTGGTGAAGCAGAATCACCATGGTGGGGAGCATGTGGTGGAGCAGAGTTGCTCTCTGTGGGGCTGCCAGGAAGCAGAGAGAGCAAGAGCATGTCTAGGGGGTCAGGGTCCATTTCCTTCTTTTTTCTTCCTTTGTTTTCAGTACTTGGGATTGAACCTAGGGACTGTGCACTGAGCTACATACCTAGCTCTTTTGTATTTTGAGAGGATCTTGCTAATCTCTATGTTGCTTAGGCTGGGTGTGAACTTGTGACTCTCCTGCCTTAGCCTCTAAAACTGCTGGGTTATAGGTGTGTACCACCAGGCCAGACATCCTTTTGTTTTGTTCCGTTCTGGACCTTCTGCTTTTGGATCCTGCTACCTGCACCCAGGGCAGGTCTCAGTGTACTACCCCACATGCCATTCATCTCTGGACAATCTCACAAGCTCAGCCATAAGTGTGCTTTACAAATTCCCTAGGCATCTCTTAATCCAATCAACCTAAAAATCAAGATTAACTGTTGCAACCCTTCTCACTAAATCACATCTTCTTAAACCACAATTAATCTCCAAATAAAAACAATAGCAGGGTTGAAGTTCTACCTACCATGATATAACTGCTTTGCTTATAATAGAAAATATGCTAATTTTTCCTTCAAAGTGTCAACAGTTTCAGCATTGCTTAAAAATCCACAAAATGTAGACAAATTCTCTTCTCGTGTTGAAAGCAAACACTCGACTATGAGCCCTTATGAAATTCAAAAAACTAATGACATACTTCCAAGACACAATGATAGAGATTAAGCATTCCCATTGCAACAGGTACTGTAGGCACAAGCATAGATGCAAACCCAGCAGCACAAGCATTAAATCCTGTATCTCTGTATCCAGCACCCAGGGCACAAAGTGCCAGGTATGAGCTCTAAAGTGATCGGGAGGCCCAACACCTATGGCCTTACTAGTTGGAGCCACACTTCTTCTACCTAAGCTGGTTCCATTTGCTGACTGCTTCTTTCCTCAGCAGACATTCCATATTCCTGTTATCTGTAAGTTCCTGGGGTCTCCACTGAACCTTTGACTTCACTGTCACAGCTTCAGCCACTGCCCCCCTGGGAGAGCCTGCAGTGACTTCAGTGCTCTCACACATAACCAAACCTTCAAAGTCTTCCTTTGAAATCTGAGTGCAAGCTTCTATGTTCTCATGAGTGTTGCATTCTATATGTGCCCTAAACCAGCATCATTTCAATAACTTATAGGTCTGCTGCCAGCATGAGTAGTAGCCAGGCTGTCCTAGGATCCTGCCTCTAATGGCCTCAGACTGTCTGGATGGCTAGTATGGTGGAATGAATCCTGGGGCAACAATTTTCTAGATCGTCTTGAGTGAGTAGGGTGCCCATGGTCACTCCTCAAAACAACCTTTTCCAGTACCGGGAATCGAACTTATGACCTTGTGCTTACCAGGCAGGTGCTGTGCCACTGAGCTAAATCCCCAGCCCCAAAACAGCCTTTTGAATGAGAGTACACTTTTACACACTAGAGCCTGTGATGGGAGAGTTCTGTCCAATTTCTGAGATGCCCCTGAGGTATCATTCCTATTGTCCTGGTGCAAAGTCCTTGGCTTTTCCTTAATGGCACTGCCTGCAGCAACTACACTATCTCTGGCCCCATCTTTAAATGCGCTTAGCTTTGGTCAAACTGCAAATTTGACAGATCCTTCTGTTTTGCTTTTCACTTCAGATTCTCACCGGAAATCTGGCTGCAAGCAGCTAGCAACACCCAGGATACTGCCTGAATGTTGTGCTGTGCTGAAATTTTCCCTGCCAGATCAATTAGTCCATTACATTTAAACGGTCTGCACCTCCAAACACTCCCAAACTTCTCCCCAAACCAATTCCAAAGGCTTCTAAATCACACTGTCAGGTATGCCATAGCAACAATCCCACTTCTTGATATCAATTTTCTGTGTTAGATTTTCATCCCTGGGACAAAAATACTCCTGATAACAAAATACTGGAGAATAACAACTTGAAGGCAGAAAGATTTACTTTGCCTCATAGTTTCAGAGGTTTCAGGCTGGGTTCCTTTGGCTCCATTGCTTCTGGTCTTGTGGTGAGGGAGAATCATGGCAGAGCGCACTGAGCACAGCAGGGTTGAGTACTTCATGAATGCTGCGAGGAGAGTGACTGCATGTGCTGGCATGCTTTGTCCTTCCCCATTTTGTTCCATCTGGGCCTCCATACTAATATATAATGTCACTGCATTCAAGGCAGGTCTGTTCCCTCAGTTCAATGCATATGCATATCATCTCTGCAGATGGCCTAGAAGACACACCCAGAAGTATGCTCTACTTATCTTTTAGATGCATCTTAATCCAAGTAAGTTGACAAGCAATCAAGACTAATTATCACAAATATATACATAATAGGAGCACTGGAGAGAAAAGGAGAGAGAAAGAAGCAGAAAGGTTTAATAAGAAGAAAATATAAAAGAAATTTACATTGTATCTCTTTATTATTCCTGATTAGTACAGTCCCTGGGCATCAAAAGCAAGAGGATTCTGAGAAACTGCCACAGGCCAGAAAAAAATAAAAGACCCAGTCATTTAACAATTAAATGCAATGAAGTACCCTGGTTTGCCCATGCAAACAAAAAGTACAAGAGCACAACACTAAAAGAATACAAAGGGCTTCCAATTCAGTGAACAGTATCATACACTGTTGTTTTCTTAGCATTGAAAAAAATGTAGTATGTGTGGAGAAGGACATTCTATAGCTCACCTTTCAATGAATTACTTATTTGAGACTTTGAGCCTGACCAAGCCATCTGATTGCTTGAATCTGGAGGAAGTCTAGCAAAAGCATTAGTGTAAAAGGAAACGATAGCAGGACCTTAGTCCCCGTGGAGAGCCGCTGGGACAGCACTAGATGCTTTGCTGAGATATGCCCAAAGGAATGAAAACCCAGCGGCTAACTAAGTCAAAGTCTAGTTCCTGTGATAATTACATTGTATTGTCCTCGCTAATCCTGTTAACGATTCCTCCCCTTTCCCCTGTTGCTGCTTTTTGTTTGTATCCCAATAAAAAGCTAAAGAAGACTGTAACCGAGGCTTCAGTCCTAGAGGCTGTAGCCCCTTGGTCCCATAACTTTGTCTCTCTTGTTTTTGTTTTCATCTGCCACACCTCGTTCTCAGGACCTGTCACCCCAGACAGAAGCTGACTACACATCGACAACTACAGTCATGTGAGACACTAACACTTGGAATAATGGATGCAGGAGGCACCGAAATACTCTGTACCACAATTTTTCTATACATCTCAAATTATTCAAAACTAAGACGTCTTTGGTTGTTTTGACAGAGGGTCTTTCTAGGTAGTTCAGGCTGGCCTTGAACTCATGTTATAGCCAGGCTGGTCTTGAACTTTCAGTCACCCTCCTTCCTTGGCCTCCTAAGTGATGAGATTATAGGTGTGTACCATTATACCTGGCACAAAACTAAAAAATCTTTTAAAAATATGTTTAGCATTAGGAAAGAGGACTTACTTTCTATAAAATGGAAGAGTGTAAAGTTCTGGAGGGAATGAAAATATGGCTTGTCAAAACCAACTATCTTAGACAGATATATAAAATACAAACAAATTTAAAGTAAAACCCTTTTGTCTATGGAACTAACTGGCACAGTCTGATTAGGACTGTACTAATCAAGGACTGTACTAATCAGTCTCTTGAGGTCAAGAGAAGGCCAGGAGGGAAGTACCACATAGGTCTTAAATTTTCTTAAATTTAAGCTCTGTATGACACATAACCTCTACCTGAATTCAAACTGGTTAAGATCTGCTTAAACAGTTCAGAAAAAAACCCAGAAAGTTATATAACTTGATGTTAAACAGAGAGAGTAGAAAAACAGTAACCATGATTTCTACAATTATTGACCAAAACCCATACCCAGATCACTTCAGAGTTCTTTTTAAATCCCCTCAGCCATGCTCCAGCTCTGCTCTGAATCAGCTGGACTTCAGCACACAGTGGGCCCAGATTCTGGCAGAGCACCACCCAGAGGCAGCACAAGCACCAGTGCAGGCCCCAGAACAGACCCAAATCCAAACAGTCCGCAGGCAGAGGCTGGGTCATCATCTGAGATTCTCAAGCATCCCACAGACAGAGGAGCCAGTGACTGCTTCTGACGACAGCTGCACCTGCTAGAATGATGCCAGAATTATTCAAAAGTATCTAAGAACTAACATCACTGTGACCCAGAGCAGTGTTCTGCAGCACCATGTAAGAGATAAGTGCATGTTATTTTGATGCTGAGGATTACTGCTCTTCACTTTGAAGAGGGATGACCATTGGCATAGGACAAATATCACTCACCCCGTACCTCACAGCCACTGGGAAAGGAAAAGCCTGTCTTTCTTAGCACCACATGCCGCATCCACCCCAGCCCAACCCCTGCTCCCCTCTAAGGAACGGATCTGTTATTGTCTTCCCCACAGTGACAGCACAGATGACTGCCCAGAGCCAGACAACACAGGAAATGACCACTCCCCACTGCCATTTTACTAGAAAGGCATTTCTGCTGCTGTGTAAGTGGCTCTGTCAGACAGGGCACAAAATATACACAGCAAAACCATTTTAGTACAGAGGGATGTCTCCTTAGTGGGGTATGACAATGGCTAAGCTCAATGTTTTAAATCTCTTAGAATAGTGCCATGACTCCAACCATAACGTGCTCAAGACTAGTGTAAAATCTGTTGCATAGTTTCCTCGGTATCAGTCTCTAGATGTCTACTGACTTTCATATATTATTAAATTTCCCAAGGAAATCTTCCTTTTTGGCAAGTCCAGCTCCATCACTTGCATACATCATGAGCTCTCACTGGTGAAAACCGCTCATTAGAACACAAATGCACTACAAAAGGGAGGTCAGTATAGAGTGAACATCACAGGCTATGGAAAGGAATACTTTCTAAGTTTGACACAGCTATGGGAACTCAGGAGGGAAGCACAAGTGCAAGGATGAGCATTGGTGCTCAGGCCATCTGCTGTGGCATTCTCTGTGTCTCTTTGTCTGTCTCTTCTCTTTCTGTGTCTCTGTCTCTGTCTCTGTCTCTCTCTGTGTCTGCCTCTCTCTCGCTGTGTCCCTCTCAGCAGTTCTGTGGTGGACTGTGAATATGTGGGGTAAGGGCTTTACTATAGAGCTATACTGTAGCCCTAACTGTGACAGTTTTCAGCGGTTGAGAATACTAGATATTCATCAGAAACTGAGGAAATATATTTACTTTTTCTTATTTTCCTGCACTTACGTTATCAAGTTTCAACTGCTTTTAGTTATGCTAATCCTTATAAAAATTAACAAGAATCTTAACACTATTCCTATAAGGACTGTATGCAAATGCTAATGAAGGCAAAAGTAACCAAAAAATAACAGAAAAGTTATCTTTCTCCTGTTTGTTTTTGAAGAACACAAGTATAACATACCAAATTCAATTGTTTCCCTATATTCCAGTAAGGAAAAGCTAGACTTTAAAATAAAAATGTGGGGCTGGGTATTTAGCTCAGTGGCATAGCACTTGCCTGGCAAGTGCGAGGTCGTGAGTTTGATTCCCAGTACCGGAAAAAAACCCAATAAATAAATAAATAAATAAAATAAAAATGTAACATTTTTAGACTCAGGATAAAGCTCAGTGGAAGAACACTTGCTTGGAATACACAAGGCCTTGGGTTTGATCCCCAGATTCTCAAAAGAAACCCACAATAGTCTTAAAAATTAAATACTTAGGTGTAAATCTAACATAAATTACATAGAGACTCCACATGCAGAAAATTTGTAAAACTTTGAGGAAAGAAATCAAATACCTAAATGAATGAAAATGTGTTCTTTTTTTTTTTTTTTATGGTTTTCCTCCGGTACCGGGAACCGAACTCACGACCTTGTGCTTGCCAGGCAGGCGCTTTGCCGCTGAGCTAAATCCCCAGCCCCGAAAATGTGTTCTATATTCATGGATTGGAGCACTCAGTATTGTCAAGATACCAAGTCATTCCAGTTTGATCTACACATACCATCACCAGAAGAAAAATATCTAGAATGCCTATTGTAGATATACACAAACTGATTCCTAAAATTATTGGGCAAAAGATTAAGAATAGACAATACTGAAGGAAAACATTGGAGGATTTACAGTAATCAGTTTTAAATCTTAATATACACTGATATTCATCAAAATTATATGGTTCTTTTGAAGAAAAAAACTCATAGAATAATGGAACAGGACAGAAAGCTCATAAATAGATATACAGAAACAGCTGGCTAATCTTTGACAGAGGAGCAAAGGCAGTTAAATAAAATAATGATACTCTTTTAAATAAAAGGTACATGAACAACTGGACAGTCACAAGCACAAAACAATGAATCTTGATCCAAACCTTACATCTTTTATGACTATCTATACTGACTGGATCATATACCCCAATAAAATGTACAACTACAAATTATCTAAAAAAAAGAAAAAAATCTAGGTGACTTTGGATTCTGCAAGGAGTTTTTAAATATAACACCAAAGATATTATTCATAGAAAAAAATTGCTAATTTGATTTTATTGAAGTTTAAAACTTTTGCACTGTTAATCATGCTATGAAGGAAATAAAAAGATAAGCCACAGCCTGGGAAAAAAGTTTGTCTTAATTATTCTTCTCATTGCTAACATTTTGGGGAGACATCTAGACACAAAGCATAACAATGTACAAACAATAGTTTCATAACAGTGCTATTTTAAAAATAAAAAGGAGAAAAACCCTGTCTCAAAAAACCAGAAAACAAAAAAAGGAAAAACTAAAATTCAGCAAGAGGACAATCCAACTTAAAAATGAAAAAAATATAAGAATAACTTATAAATTAACAGAGATCACAAATAATAATTTGAAAATATGTCCAACATCATTTGTCATTAAGGAGTTGAATATTCAAACAATAATGTGGTTATCACCACTTACCTATTAGAATGGCCGAAATCCAAATATCTGACCATACCAACACCTGTGAAGATGTAGAGTAGCAGGAGCTCATTGCTGGAGAGAATACAAAAAAGTAGTCACCTACATGGTCTCAATGTGTGTCCCTTCAAAATTCATCTTTTGAAATCAAACACCTAAGGTCATGGTATCTGGGAGATGACTGGGATGAACGAATGAAGTCTTGGAGAAGCCCGTTTCCCCTTCCACCTTGAGAAAACTCAGAGAAGGCAGCATCTATGAGGAATGGCACTCACCAGACACCAAATCTGCAGATCCCTTGCCCTTGGATCTCTCAGTCTCTGGGTCTGTGAACTACAAAACTTTTGCCTACAAATGACCAGATCTTTTCTGAGAGCAGCGAAAAACTAAGACACTTTGGGAGGTACTTTGGCAGTCTCTTATTTGGCTAAATATAATATTGACACATAATCCAATAATTATGCTTCTAGGTATCTGATTTAAAAACTTGTCCAATAATTAAAAACCTGTGCACAAATATTTATAATTGATTTATTAATAACTTCTATGTACTAGAGTCAACCAAAATGATCTTTACTGCTTAGATGGATCAATAGACTGTAATTAATGCCTACAATGAATGATTATTCACTGATAAAATTTAGAAATGAGCTACGAAGCCATGAAAATAAATAAATCTTAGCGGTAATCTTAAGTTTCAAAATGTCCTCTGATAAATTGTAAATTTACCTGGGAGAACACAAATGTTAAAATTACTATGGAGGGTGATTGTACAGTATATAACAAAATAAAAACTGTACTCACCTCTATTTGAGCCTATTGTGTCACTCAAGCAAATATATATTACCTGTGATTAAGAGTGGAGAAGAGCTCACAAGAGAGTCATAATCGATCTTCTCTTTACAAATACAAAATGGGAGATTAAAATAAATTTTCAAGTAAAAGTGATGAAAGATGTTAGGTTGATAGGAACACAGCTGTTAGGAGATGCAATCTCAATGTATAATTTACAACCAGATGAACACATGTCCAGATTATCAAAAGAAATCAGCTGGTATGCAGAAGTAGAAGCACTAAAAGATTAGTGTATGGTCTCTCCACTTGCAGGATCTGGTGTAGGATGATGGTACAAAATGCCACACCCATTTGCCAACTACAAAATAATATAGCATATTCCTGACTAAAATAAGATCCTAGAAATTTGGAATTGAAGGGATTCTACTGTTACTAACAGAGATGTCTGCCAGCAGCCAACAATGCAAGTAAGCGTTCATAGCTAAACAGTGTATGTCATCATTAATGCTTAACTTGATCGCTTCTATTTCTGTGCTTCCATTTCACATGCGGGTCCCTTATAACCTTCCTAAATCCATTATAACACAAACTGGAGAGGGAAGAAAGAGGTCAGCTTGCTTATAACTCTTGGACGAAGGTGAAGATCCCCTGATGAGACAGAGGAAGACGGAGGCCACAAGCTCTGCACCCTGCAGCTCCTGGGTGCATACGCACCAAGGTCCAAGCCACCTGGTTGCTCATTAACAGGCCGAACACTAGGCACAGCTCTGGGCAATAAAGGTTAATTTTAACTTAGAAAGGCTAAGGGAATCTGAGAAATCCTAAGGAGAGAAAGCCACCAAAGTCTTCCAAATGTCTGCAAGAGAAGAAATCTTGCTCGGTTACCTCCAGAGGCCTGCGGATGATGGAGGCCAAAGGACTGCCCGCACAGCACTCTGGGAACGAGTTTTAGGCTCCTCTTCGCAAGCGCTTCCATAACCCCGCCTCTTGCTTTGACACCTGGCCTCATGCGAAGAGCATCCCCGAATTTTCCAGACCTTGCAGACTTTAGGCAGCCCTTTGGTACGAGAGCGGTGCAGACTGGTCCTCTGCAGGGCATGTGACCAGCACCACAGAGTGGCGAGTCGCCTGCATAGGTGGGATACACACGCTTGCGCGCGCGCGCACACACACACACAGACACACACACACACACCCCTCAAGGACCAACACACTAGTCTGGAACAGGTGACAGCCTGGCCTACTGTAGGTGGCAGGGCTCGTGATTCTGAGGTTGACTGTGAATGTTGAGCAAGTGCCCGTGGTGGGGCTGCTGTGACAGCCTGAGGTTTGCACCAAGGAAGACCCCAGTGAGCCCCTGTCCTGTCCCTGTCCTGCCAAGGACAAGTAGGGCGGTGCTTTAGAGTTAGGGTGTCACAGATGACCTGCTCAGCCACCTACCAGGGACGCGTGTCAGCACAGGTTCCTGTGAGGTCTGAGTAACCACCTGCATTTAAAGCAAAGAAATCAGAGTTGTGAGTTGGTGTGGTACAGAGCCTGAAAGTGTCTGCAGTTTGTCCACAGCCCTGTCCCATTGCTCCTTCTGTGGATTATCTTTCAAGAGATAAAACAACATTATTAGGATGAATGATAAAGATGGCAACCTGAGTCTTTTAAAGTGTTTCTTTTAACTGAATGAACACTGCCCTGACTTTTCTTATATTTTATTTATTGAAGTATAGGATGAAATATAGGAAGCTTATTTATAATAACTTTACCTAAAGAAAAAGCCACTGAGCTTAAACTACTTGCTTAACATGTGTGAGTGTCCTGGATTCAAACCCAGCTCGCTGGCACACATGCCTGCCAAGCATTATAAGCATTGAATACAGTGACAATTAATGATATGTATATATAATTTGTAAATAATTACAAGTGCAAAAACTGATATGAGCTTAATATTTGTATTTATTGTGTAGTAGCTCCCATGTAGGAGACACTGGGCCATAGTACGTATACTTTTTTTTTTTTTTTTTTGGTTTTTTTCTGGTACCAGGAATCGAACTCACGACCTTGTGCTTGCCAGGCAGGCGCTGTGCCGCTGAGCTAAATCCCCAGACCCCTTTTTAACACTTGGTTTCAACAAACTCTCAAGAAGAGACACAATAGATTTGGTCCTTATTTTCCATGTCATTTGTGTCTGAACCCTCAGATTGACCAGCAGTGTGGCATTACACACCTCACTGTCACACAAGGATAGCTGTGTGGAGTTCAGCTGGGAGGAGTAGCAGGACATGGGTCCTCTGAGAGGACCCTGCACCAGGATGTGATGCTGGAGAATAACACTGCTTCTTCAGTGAGTGAGAAGACCATACCTTGTGACCCTCTACAAGGCAATGTTTGTATCTTTTAAAATTACCTTTATTACAAGGTAGTCAGTAGAAAATATGTATGACATCTTTCTTTTTATAACCTGATGAGCTTTGAGAAATACATTCAGTTAATTACTACCACCAAAATTGGGACATAGGACATTCCTTTACTTCAAAAAGTTTTGCTTCTTTGTAACTTTATAAGTGTATTTATAACTTTATGAGTAAATGCCAAATGTTTCCAAAGTGACTGTGTTATTTCATGCCCATTGGAAACATTTCAGAGTTCCTTTTGCTCTACATTCTCAGAAACACTTGGTATTGTAAATGTTACTAATTTTAACCAATTCGGTCTGTGTTGGATTATAACTTGTTAGACTTTAGTTTATGTTTCTCAGATGAATAATGATTAAGACATCCTTTCTTGTGCACTTAGCTATTTACATAACTTTGCATGTGTGTGTGTGTGGGGTGCATTACAAGGGATCAAACCCAGGGTCTTTGCACTGAGCTACAACCCCAACACTTTCTCTATTTTATATCTTGAAACAGGATCTTGCTAATCTTTTCAGATCTCTAATGTATCTTTTAAAATTTTGAATTTATATAGCCCCATTCTTTTTCAGTTCAGAGAGTTCTTTGTTTAACCTAGACGACCTTTACAAAATACAGGGTTTGCAAACTTTTTCTCCATGTGTAGCTTGACTGATATTCAATAAGTGTATTTTGAAAAGACAGAAAGTTTCATCTAAAGTCGCATCATGTTTTTTTTTCTTTTAAACCCCATGGTCTTCCTCTTTTACTTAAGATATATTTGTGTAACTCAGGATCGCTAAAATGATCTTTTGTGTTTAGGATTATTTTGTGTTCTACTTAATTTCTTTGTGTTATATAAAACACAGGTTATGCCTTATATTTTGTGTCTAAAGATTTAATTTAACAACACTGTATGTAAGCTGGGCCTGGTGTCTCATACCTGTAATCCCAGCACTTCGGAGGCAGAGGCAGGAGAATCACTGAGTTCCAGGCCAGCCTAAACTGCATACTGAAACTGTGTTTCAAAAGACCAAAATAAACAGACAACTCCCTCCCTAAAAAACTCCAAAAACCACATTGCTACAAATGTAATCTTTTTTCTACTGAATTGTCAACAAGGTTGTCTGAACTAAATTGCCCTTATAGGAAAGGGTCTCCTTCTGGATTCTGTTCTATTTCATTGCTCTTAATGTCTATCTTTCTGGAATTACCGTGCTCTTTTCATGAATATAGTCACATTTCATTCATTTGAATGAAATAACATTTGAAATCAGAAGAGGTTTCTTTTTTTCTTTTCAACATGTATTTGCAGTTATCCTTTTCTGTACAAACTTTGGAAGCTTATTTCTCTTAAAGTCTTGCCAAGATTATGATTCGAATAGCCTTGAATCTATCTATCTCTCCTGTTTAGTTTCTTAAAATGTACATTATAGGGTAGATTTCTTCTTAATACTTATGTGGTTATATTTACGTAGAAATGTTTTTTATTTTCATACTGTTTTCAATGGAATGTTTTTAAATTATTGAAATTATTTGAAAAACTCAATATCATCTATTTATAGTCTATCATATCTTACATCATCACTAACCTTTCTTTTTAGTTGTAGTATATGTTTTTTTAAAGATTTCTTAATGTGCCTTATGTATATAGTGATGTTATTGATGTATAAAGCTTAGTCCTCTCTATATTAGTAATCTGTCTATTCTCCCTAAACTTCCCAACTGTGTGATTCAGGTTTTCACCCTAGTTTTTTCAAGTGATCCCTGCTGTGACATCAAGCAGTCTCCCTATGTTCATGCACCTACTCAGCCAAAGACTCAAGGAGGCGCTTCTGCGGGTGCCGGCAGCTCTCTTTCAAGGCAGCTTTTTGTCTTCAGTGTTTTGCCCTACAAATCCTGCTTGCCTTGTGCTCCCTCAGCTCCTTATTCTTTCTCAACTTACAGAGTCCTTCAGGTTCTGTCCGGGTTCTGTGATATGGTCTGAAGATTTTATTCTTTTCTTTAGGGTGCTGCAAGGTGTGAATGTCCTTGTGCCACCTGTTTTTCAAAAGCCTAAGATATGTGGACCTTCTTAAGGGGAGTTTCATGATATTTTTGTTTCTGACTGACTTAAAAAGATTGGTTATTCTTGATTATCAGCAAAAAATGTTTCAATTATCACCTCTGCAAAGCTTCAGAATTTATTAAGAGTATAAAGCAATTAAAATTTAGCTTTAACAAATGGGAATGAGGAGAGGAGAATCTAATTTCATTATGGATTTTATAATATGAAGTTCCTAAATACCAGCTAAATAAATAAGAGATCACATAAGATTATAACATCTTTCCTAAGTATTGGGGGAAATACACTTTATAAGAGGAACATGTCTATTATCAAAAATGTTTTTATGAAGTTATATAAAATACACAGTAACATAAAATGATAGAAGCCTAGCTACCATATCAACTAATATAAATTGGTTAAAATCAACTGCATGAAAACATACTGTCAGATATTTTTCTTTATTTATTTTTACTAGTACATGTTTCTAGTACATAATGTTTACATTCCTGTATGAGTTGGTACATGGACATAAAACATCTTCATTTTTTTTCATGCCCTTTCACTCTTTCCTTCCCAGCCTTCCATCTCTTGAACACCCTTCCCATTTGAGAAAGAACTAGCTCCCTGCTTCCCATTATCTATCTTTTATTTTGCTCTTTATTTATACAATATTTAGGCTTAGTGTCTGATTTATTTCATTTAACATTACGGTCTCAAGGTACACCTATTTTCCTAGAATTGACTCAAGGTTCTCTTTGTGGCAGGGTAGTACTCCATTGTGTGTAACTACCACATTTTCTTCATCCATTCATCTGTTGATGGGCATATAGACTGCTTCCAAAATTCAGCTCTTATAAATGGTACTGCTATAAACAAAAGTGTCCGTGTGTCACTGTAACATGATGTCATTAGATACCTAGAAGAGGAATAGCTCATTCAAGTGGAATTTCTAGTTTAGTTTTTTCAGGAACCTCCATGG